GACACCTCCTCGAGTTGCTACTGATCTAGCCTTTTCCATCAACAAGCCCCGCCTCCTCTAATGACCCCTCCCCCTCTAATGACCCCCACCCCTTCTAATGACCCCCCACCCCTCTAATGACCCCACCCCTTCTAATGACCCCCCCCTCTAATGATCCCCCACCCCTCTAATGACCCAACCCCCCCCTCTAATGACCCCCGTCCCCTATAATGACCCCACCCCACCCTATAATGACCCCACCCCTATAATGACCCCACCCCTATAATGACCCCCCCTATAATGACCCCACCCTAATGACCCCCCCTCTAATGACCCCCCCCCCCTCTAACCCCACCCCTCTAATGACCCCACCCCCTCTAATGACCCCCTCCCTCGAGTTGCTACTGATACTAACCTTTCCATCAACAAACCCTGCCCCTCTAATGACCCCAACCCCCTCTAATGACCCCACCCCCTCTAATGACCCCCACCCCTCTAATGACCCCACCCCCTCTAATGACCCCACCCTTCGAATTGCTATGATACTACCTTTCCATCACAACCCCAAACCCCTCTAATGCCCCACCCCCTCTAATGACCCCGCCCCCCTAATGACCCCCCACCCCTTCTAATGACCCCACCCCTCTAAAGACCCCCGCCCCCTTTGATGACCCCACCCCCTCTAATGACCCCCCCCCTCTAGTGACCCCCCTCTAATGACCCCCCCTTAATGACCCCTCCTTCTAATGACCCCCCTTCCCTCGGGTACTGATACTAACCTTTCCCATCAAAACCCCGCCCCTCTAATGACCCCCTCCCTCTAATAACCCCACCCCCTCTAATACCCCACCCCCTCTAATGACCCCCCCTCCACCCTCTAACCCCCCAACCCCTCAATGACCCCAACCCCCTCTAATGACCCCACCCCAATGACCCCCTCCCCCCCTTCCCCAGCCCGTCCGTGGAGCCTACGAGTGCGCCCCCCAGTGTGTGCCGCAGCGGTGGGTGTGACGGCATCGACCACTGCTGGGGTGACGGAGATGATGAACTGCACTGCGGTAGGAGAGGTGGGCGAGGTGGCGAGGTGGGTGAGTGGGTGGATGGGTGGAATGGGTGGATGAGTGGGTGGATGGTGGGTGGTGGATGGATGGTGGATGGGTGGTGGGTGGATGAAGAGAGAGGGAAGGAGGGAGGGAGGGAAGAAGCGAGAGAGAGAGAGAGAGAAGAAGAGAAAGAGAGAGAGAGACAAAAAAAAAGACAGACAAAAAAGATTGAGACAAAAAAAGAAAGACAAAAAAGAAAGAGACACAAAAAAAAAAAAAAAAAAAAAAGAGACAGAGAGAAATAAACGTAACATCAAAACCCAACCCCTTTTCCCCTCCCAGAGCACGTGCGCCGAGGCTACTTCCACTGCGCCGAGAAACAAGTGCATCGCGGAGCATCAGGTGTGCAACCGATACGACGACTGTGAGGGCGGCGAGGACGAGATCAACTGCCGTGAGTCGTCTTCTGGTTGAGGGAGGGAGGGAGGAAGAGGAGGGAGAGGGAAGGGAAAGGAAGGAAGGGAGAGAGAGAGGGAGGGAAGAAAGGGAGAGAAAAAGGGGGGGAAAGGGAGGGCAAGGGAGATAGAGGGAGAGAGGAGGGGGAGGGAGGGAGAGAGAGAGAGAATGAACTGTGAGGGCGGCGAGGATGAAATAAACCTTTTTTCTTATATTTTTCTGTTTTTCGTTTTTATTTCTGCCTTCATTATTCTCTATTCCTTATTTCTTCTTCATTTCCTTCTCTTCCTCCTTTTCCACCCTTCCTCCTCCTCCTCCTCCTTCCACCCGTTCTTCCTCCTCCTCCTTTTCACCCCTTCCTCCTCCTCCTTTTCCACCCCTTCCTCCTCTCCCCTTCCTTCCTTCCCACCCCTTCCTCCTCCTCCCCTCCTCCCTCCTCCTTCCCCTCCTCCTCCTCCCCACCTCTTCCTCCTCCTTTTCCACCCCCTTCCTCCTCCTCCTTTTCCACCTCCTCCTCCACCTCCTCCTTCCTTCCTCCCTTCCACCCTTCCTTCCTCCTCCTTTTGCACCCTTCTTCCTCCTCCTCCTTTGCATCCCTTCTTCCTCCTCCTCCTTTTCCACCCTTCTCTCCTCCTTTTCACCCCTTCCTCCTCCTCCTTTTCCACCCCTTCTTCCTCCTCCTTTCCACCCCTTCCTTCCTCCCCTTCCATCCCCTTCCTCCTCCTCCTTTTCCACCCCTTCCTCCTCCTCCTTTTCCCACCCTCCTCTCTCCTTTCCTTCCTCCTCCCTTTTCCACCCCTTCCTCCACCTTTCCCCCCTTCCTCCTCCTCCTCCTTTCCTCCTCCTCCTCCTCCTTTTCCACCCCTTCCTTCTCCTCCTCCTTTTCCACCTTCCTCCTCCTCCTCCTCCTCCTCCACCTCCTCCTCCTCCTCCTTTCTCCACCCCCTCCTTCCTCCTCCTCCTCCTTTCCACCCTTTCCTCCTCCTCCCTTTTCCACCCCTTCCTCCTCCTCCTTTTCCACCCCTCCCCTCCTCCTTTTCCACCCCTTCCTCCTCCTTTTTTCCACCCCTTCCTCCTCCTCCTCCTCCTCCCCTTTCCACCCCCTTCCTCCTCTCCTTTTCCACCCTTCCTCCTCCTCCTTTTCCACCCCTTCCTCCTCCTCCTCCTCCCCTTTTCCTTCCTCCTCCTCCTTTTCCACCCCTTCCTCCTCCTCCTCCTCCTCCTTTCCACCCTTCTCCTCCTCCTTCCTTTCCACCCCTCCTCCTCCCTTTCCCCTTCCTCCTCCTCCTCCTCCTCTTTCCACCCCTTCCTCCTCCTCCCACCCCTTCTTCCTCCCCTTTTCCACCCCTTCCTCCTCCTTTTCCTCCTTTCCTCCTCCTCCTCCTCTCCTTTCCACCCCTTCCTCTCCTCCTCCTTTTCCACCCTTCCTCCTCCTCCTCCTCCTTTTCCACCCTTCTTCCTTTCCACCCCTCCTCCTCCTTTTCCACCCTTTCCTCCACCTCCTCCTCCTTTTCCACCCTTCCTCCTCCTCCTATTTCCACCCTCCTCTCCTCCTTTTCTTCCTCCACCTCTTCCACCTCCTTCCTTCTCTCCACCCCTTCCTCCCTCCTCCTTCCACCCCTTCCTCTCTTCCTCCTCCCTTTCCACCCCTTCCTCTCCCTTCCTCCTCCTCCTTCCTCCACCCCTTCCTTTTCCACCCTTTCCTCCTCCTTTTCCACCCCTTCCTCCTCCTCCTTTTCCACCCCTTCCTCCTCCTCCTCCTCCTTTTCCACCCCTTCCCTCCTCCTTTTCCACCCCTTCTTCCCTCCTCCTCTTTTCCCCCTTCTTCCTCCTCCTCTTTTCCACCCTTCCTCCTCCTCCTTTTCCTTCCTCCCTCCTTTTCCTCCCTTCCCCTTCTCCCCTCCCCTCCTCTTCCTCCTTCCTCCCTCCTTTTCCCACCCTTCCTTCTCCTCCTCCTTTTCCACCCCTTCCTCCTCCTTCCTCCTCTCCTTTTTCCACCCCTTCTCTTCCTCCCTCCTCTTCCACCCCTTCCTCCTCCTCCTCCTTTTCACCCCTTCTTCCTCCTTCCTCCTCCTTTCTCTACCCTTCTTCCTCCACCTCCTTTTCCACCCCTTCTTCCTCCTCCTCCTTTTCCACCCCTTCCTCCACCCCTTTTCCTCCCCTTCCTCCTTCCCACCATTTCCTCCACTTCCTTTTCCACCCCTCCTCCTTTCCCCCCTTCCTTCCTCCTCTCCTTTTCCCCCCTCCTCTTCACCTTCCTTCCTTCCTCCCTTTTCCACCCCTCCTCTTCCTCCTCCTTTTCCACCCCTCCTCCACCTTCACCCCTTCCTCCTCCTTTTCCACCCCTTCTTCCTCCACCTCCTTTTCCACCCCTTCCTCCCCTCCTCCACCCCTTCTTCCTTCTCCTCCTTTTCCACCCCTTCCTCCACCTTTCTACCCCTTCCTCCTCCTTTTACCCCTTCCCACCTTGTCCACCCCTCCTTCTCCTTTTCCACCCCATCACCTCCTTTTCCACCCCTTCCTCCTCCTCCTTTACCACCCCTTCCTCTTCCTCCTCCTCTTCCTTTTCCAACCCTTCCTCCTCATTTTTTTAATCCTTAACGATGTCCTTCCCTCCCGAAGCCGTGAACCCCCCGCCATGTCCCGACGGCAGCTTCCAGTGCCCTGACGGAGGCCCCTGCATCCTGGAACAGTTCGTGTGCGACGGATACATGGATTGCTATGGATCCGAGGACGAAACCGGCTGCAGTAAGTGTCTCTCGAATACCCGTTTGTGAGTTCCTATTATTCCTGTTAGGAGAAATTAATCTCTTTGTGAATTACGTAATGGGGTGATTCTTAGGAGAGAAAGGGGGGAAAAGAGTTACGTAATGGAATGGTTTTCTAGAAGAATAAGGAAAACAAGAGAAAGTAAAAAAAACGTAATGGAAAACAAAAAAAATATAAAAAAAGTAATGGAAGATTCTTGAAGAGAAATGGAAAATTACGTAATGAATGATTCCTAGAAGAGTAAAAAAAAAAGTTACTTAATAGAATCATTTCTAGAAGAGTAAAGATCCCCTTTCTGAATTACGTAACGAAATGATCCCTAGAAGAGCAAAGAACAAAAAAATAACGTAATGGACCGATTCCCAGAAGAGTAAAGAACCCATTCCTGAATTACGTAACTCCACGATTCCCCGAAGAGTCAAAGAACACTCTACAGCATTCACTCTGTCCTTACTTATCTCCCAGCCACTTGCAACGGCGGCTTCCACTGCGACGACGACACCTGCGTCTTCGAGATCTACATGTGCGACGAGAGGGAGGACTGTCCCAACGGCGAGGAGGAGGCGGCAGAGGATTGCGGTAAATGTGGATTTTTTGTTTTTTTTTTTTTCATATTAAGAGAAATTTTCGTTCTTTCTTTCTCGCTGTCTTTGTCTCTTCTCTCTCTGTCTCTGTCTCTGTCTCTATCTATCTATCTAGGAGGAGGCGGCAGAGGAATGCGGTGAGTATGGGACTGAGTTTTGTTTTTCTTTTTTCCATATCGAGAATGAGAAATTTTCGTTCTTTCTTTCTCGCTGTCTTTATCTCTTTCTCTTCTGTCTCTGTCTATTTCGCTGTCTCTGTCTCTGTCTCTCTCTCTATCTATCTATCTATCTAGGAGGAGGCGGCAGAGGAATGCGGTGAGTATGGGTTGATTTTTTGTTTTTGTTTTTTTTTGTGCATGTCTGATTGAGAAATTTTCGTTCTTTCTTTCTCGCTGTCTTTGTCTCTTTCTCTTCTGTCTCTGTCTCTATCTGTCTATCTATCTAGGAGGAGGCGGCAGAGGAATGCGGTGAGTATGGGTGATTTTTTGTTTTCTTTTTTCCATATTGAGAATGAGAAATTTTCGTTCTTTCTTTCTCGCTGTCTTTGTCTCTTTCTGTCTCTCTCTCTCTCTCTCTCTCTATCTGTCTATCTATCTAGGAGGAGGCGGCAGAGGATGCGGTGAGTATGGGATTTTTTTTTTTTTTCCATATTGATTGAGAAATTTCGTTCTTTCTTTCTCGTGTCTCTGTCTCTTGCTCTGTCTTTTCTGTCTCTGTCTCTTTCTGTCTCTGTCTCTGTTCTCTGTCTCTTTCTCTTCTGTCTTTGTCTCTATCTAGGAGGAGGCCGAGGAATGTGGTAAATATGGGATTGACTTTTTTTTTGTCCATATATATAACTGAGAAATTTTCGCTCTTTCTCTCTTTCTCTTCTTGTCTCTGTCGAGGAAAGTGGTGAGGGACAGCGTCGCGTTTTCATGTTTTTGGGACGGTTTTTGTCGTTCTTTTTCGTTTTTTTTCTTTTGTTTTATGGGTTTGTTTATGTTTGTTTTCGTTTTTTTTATTCCTGTTCTTCTTTTCTTTCTGTTTCTTGTTCTCCTTTTTCTTCTTCATATTCTTCTTTTCCTTCTGTTTCCTGTTTTTCTATTTTTTTCTTCCTGTTTTTCTTTCCATCTGCTTCTCCTTATTCATCTCACCTCCTCCTCCTCTTTCTTCTTCTTTTCCTTCTCTCTTCACCCTTTTCTTCCTCTTCATTTTCGAATGCACATTGAACTTTTTCCGTCCAGCAATTACATGTTATAGGGATACATGAAATTAGGGATTACACGTAACTCCTGAAATTATCAGGTATTTCACATAATTGCTGCGCCCATAGGTAAATACAGTTATTACGTGATATCTCAAAAAAGTGATATAAGATACGATACCCATAGAGTAGTTTGTATGATATATCTATAATTCACTGACGTCTAAATGGTAAAATATATCTACAGGAAACTAGGAGATAATATGATATGACACGAAGAAAAAAAATTGGTCATACAGATTACATGAAATCCCTGATCATTTTAGGGTTTACGTGTAATCCCTAGTCTCGTATATTCCCCGTAACATACACACACACATTTGGTTCTACAACGCCTCACCCGGGTTAGGACAGCTAAGTCACAGCCACACCAACTTCCCCACAGAATGCAGGGACACGGACTTCATCTGCGACAACGGCCACTGTCTCCCGGACTACATGGTGTGTGACGGGAAGCCCCATTGCCACGGCGGAGAAGACGAAGCGAACTGCGGTAAGTTACTGGAAGCGTAACTTACGTGTGGTAAGTTAGTGGAAGCGTAACTTACGTGTGGTAAGTTAGTGGAAGCGTAACTTACGTGTGGTAAGTTAAAGCGTAACGTAACTTACGTGTGGTAAGTTAGTGAAGCGTAAGCGTGTGGTAAGTTAGTGGAAGCGTAACTTACGTGTGGTAAGTTAGTGGAAGCGTAACTTACGTGTGGTAAGTTAGTGGAAGCGTAACTTACGTGTGCGTAAACGTAAGTGTGGTAAGTTAGTGACGTGTGCTAACTACGTGTGGTAAGTTAGTGGAAGCGTAACTTACGTGTGGTAAGTTAGCGTAACTTACGTGCGTAACTTACGTGTGGTAAGTTAGTGGAAGCGTAACTTACGTGTGGTAAGTTAGTGGAAGCGTAACTTACGTGTGGTAAGTTAGTGGAAGCGTAACTTACGTGGTACTTACGTGTGGTAAGTGGAAGCGTAACTTACGTGTGGTAAGCGTAACTTACGTGTGGTAAGTTAGTGGAAGCGTAACTTACGTGTGGTAAGTGGAAGCGTAACTTACGTGTGGTAAGTTAACTTACGTAAGTTAGTGGAAGCGTAACTTACGTGTGGTAAGGTGTCCGTAACTTACGTGACGGAGAAGTTAGATTGAAGTGGACTAAGATTTTTCGTTCGGTCGGTTGTTTATCGCGCGACAAGTGGAAACTAAAAAATTATTTGGTTTCGATTTGTAGTTTAATTTTATAGGCTGTTTGGATAGGATTTATCGCTGGTTGTGTGTTTGGAAGGATTTGTCACAACGGCGGTAATACGTATACATAAATGTTTATATGTAGCGAAACTTTACCCAATAAGAATAAATATAATGAAAGTCTTTATCCTCACGCAAAATAAACGTCTCATAATAATAATCTATAACAACAGACACCATAGACACTGAATACACGTTCTGAATACTCTTTTCTATTAACACGTGGCATTAATAAAACCTCAACTCGCAACATAATAGTAGTCGCCCAGTCGCCTCTAACCACCTGACGCCGCAGGAGATGCCAAGCAGACCCGCCCCGCCCTTCGCCCCCGCCGCGTCCTCGACCCGCGAAGGACCCGAGCACAGAACGCCCTCCTCGCCAAGCTGGCCAAGTATCGCAGGAACTAAGGACTCGTAAGGACTCGTCTCGTGCCTCCCGACGCAGGAACGTCAACTCTCCTCCTCGCCAAGCTGGCCAAATGACGCAGGAACTAAGGGCTCGTCTCGTGCCTCCCGACGCAAGAACTAAGGACTCGTCTCGTGCCTCCCGACTCTCCTGCTCGCCAAGCTGGCCAAATATCGCAGGAACTAAGGACTCGTAAGGACTCGTCTCGTGCCTCCCGAGTCTCCTGGACCTCCCTGGGAATCCCTTTGGAAATCCTGACGAGGAATCTTACCTTCGTTCCTCGTCAGGTTCTCTCTCTCTTCTTCTTCTCTAGGGGGAAAAATAATGTAAAAGTCTTGCTGGAATATAGATATAAAACATACCAAGATCTGGATTTTCATTTATATTACAATCTTGTCTTTCACTAGTTTTAAGTTTTCTCGAAAAAGAAAGAAAGAAAGAAAGAAAAAAAAGAAATGTAAACCTATTATTGTAGCCAGAAAGAGAACGGCATTTCGAAACTTCAAATGTTTTCTGAAGCATATAAAAACCACCTACATGATATATGTGAACCATATTCATGTTGACAAATGTAGAAAGGTATAAATGAGAATGAATATACATGTAAACATATATATGTACATATACATACATACATATATAATATATATATATATATATATATATATATATATACATATATATATATATCTATATATGTATATATATACATATATAATATATATATATATATATATATATATATATATATATATATATATATATATATATATATGTGTGTGTGTGTGTGTGTGTGTGTGTGTGTGTGTGTGTGTGTGTGTGTGTGTGTATGTGTGTGTGTGTAAATGAATACACATGACATACATGTGTGTGTATACAATACACATGTATAAGTGATGGATATGACTAATTAAACTCTACACTGTATGGTGCTCTATTCAGTAACCGAGGATATTATTGCACAAGTGTTAGACTAAATGTATTTGTGTGTATCTATCTCTTATAAACGACATATACATACATACATATATATATATATATATATATATATATATATATATATATATATATATATATATACATGCACGCTCACACACACATATGTATGTATATATGTATATATATGTATATATATACACCATATACATATTTATATACACAACACACATACACATACATACTATGTGATATATATATCTATATATATACACACATGTATATTTATGGTAATTTTTTGGAATACATCCGCCAAGCAGACCGCAACGATTTCAGTATCGTTGGATGCCTCTCGCCGTCTATTGTGCAAATATGTAGGTTACATTGTGTGGAAATCCCCTTTAGTGATAAACTTGGCCCCGATAGCAGGAGAGGGCATCAAAGGTTCCAGGGAAAATGCGGGGTTAAATAACACTAATGATATAACACACGCGGCTTAAGGATGATAATTCACATTATTATTCACTGCAAGAGGCTGTGACCCCTGCGACCCCCCTCGAGGAGCTACCGCCCCCTACACCCGCCGAGGAAACAAAGAATCCTCCACATATTCACGGCTGGAAAGATCCACAACAACTAGACGCAGAATGGACACTAGTAAATAACCTAGGATTTGTAAGGTACTAACCTGATTGATCGAGGCTACTGAGGGCTGGGAGGGCGCTGTGTGTGTGTGCAGGTGCTGAAGAAGGTGATGGAGGCGGCGGGTGGCGACCTCGCGCACAAGTCTGTCTCAGAGTGTAATACTCCACATTGGCCCATCGCGGCAACTATGGCTGTGGAACGAAGGCGACGGCGGCAGGTCCGTGCCATACATGTTATGAACCTGTATCTCGTGGTTTCCAAATGGGAAATTCAACCGCTTTATTCCTGTTGTGAACACGTATCTCGTGGTTTCCAGAAGACGGAAAACTCGACCACAAGGCTATATTTTTATGCAACAGATGGCGACATAGGCAGTTCAGTAACTAAATAAGATACTACCATCTAGTGGCTAACGCTGATACACGTCTTAACAGAGTGTGTCTATCATTCCACTCCATCATAACCGCCACTCCCGAGGCCAGCGGCGTCCCCTCGGGAGCTGCGCATAGACCGCCGAGGAGAGTGAACCACCGTCGCTCTGCTGTTCATCTGGATTATACTAGTCTGTCATAGGTTAGTATGCTGCTTCTGTGGGCGCGTTCCATTACCCCTATAGTTGTCCATTGCCCTATCCTGCCGTACATATGTGGTGGTTTCTTTGTCTTCCCTGCATTATAAATTGCAAGGGAACTTATTCATTGATTAGTA